TGTCCATGGCCTGGAGGAACGATGGTACTGAGTCTTCACCCTGCAGCGCCACTTCCGTGTCATCCGCATATTGGCACGCGGTGACTGGTTGTGAGTCGGCTGGCTGTAATTTGATCCCCACGTCTTGGCTCCGGAGCCAGCATTGTAGGGCCTGAGCAACGAAGAGGTAGAGCAAGGGTGCGAGGGGGCACCCTTGCCGTACCCCTGCTTCCATGTTCACCAGCTTCGATTTGTAGCCATTCACCATCGCTCTGGCTCGCGTTTCGCTCAGCAGCAGCCGTACCCAGGCGCAGAGCTGTGGCCCTGCACCCATGGTCTCCATTGCTGCCAGGAGGAACCCACGATCCACCGTGTCATAGGCCTTGGCGAAGTCCAGGAATGCCAGGAGCCCCCGGCGGTTCTGCTTGCGAAGGAGGTGTGACAGGTGACGCAGGAATAGCACACTAGCTCCAATGAGGCGCCTAGGTAGGAAGGCTGATTGCTCGGGGGTTATGACTTGGCCAAGGGCAGGGCCTAGGCGGTTTGCCAGTCTGTGTTTGTGTCTCTGGTGCAGCGAGTGCTCTGGCCCTCTACCCGGGGGGCCCGCGGGTTCGCGGTTAGTGTTCGTTATCCGTGTCGAAAAAGAAGTTACACAAAGCTGGTGTGTGGCGGCTTCACCGCGCCTATCTGCACACACACACACAGACACACACTCTCTGCCTCTCTCTTCATCTGTTCATGAGAGAACATGTGCGCTTACCCACCATCACCCAATGTTAACCCGCTTACACAACAACAGTATTTCAAAGCATGTTTTCAGGTCTGTCCGTCCGTATCTATGTATATGTCCGTCCGTATGTATGTATATGTCCGTCCGTATGTATGTATATGTCCGTCCAGTTCGAGTTACTGGTTGCTGGTGTGGGTCGAGGGGGTCGGGGGGTACACAGCGCGCGCAACAGCGTGCCCAGTTTGATTTAAAGTAGCGAGATCAACTAACGGCGCATTTGTCGGGCCTCGTCTGGCGTGCATGTATGTATGTATGTATGTATGTATATATGTATGTATGTATGTATGACGTTGATTACACTGTGGGCTGAAAAGCCGGGGGCCCAGGGCCGAAGCACAGCGCGGGGGGCGGGTGCATACGGCTGGTTAGTCTCATGCACTCCGCCCCCGGGTCAGGCCGCACGGGAAACGACGGCCGGCACGCAACAGCGCTTGTTTGGCGCTCCAACTAGACGGGATCTATGCCCGTTGGTCTCCTAACATAAACGAAGTCGCAACTGGGGGGCTCTTCCTGCCGACCGAACGAACCGAGCATCTCAGAGAGCTCGCTACCAGGACTTGGGCGACCGGGAGCCCGACGAGTCTTCCCGGGCTGGGGAGGTCACCAAGCTCAAAAATCCTCACGCAACAAAGAGCGCAAAGAGCTCACACCACAAGACGCCAAACAGCCTCCTGAGACTACTACCCTCCTCCGCCTCTCCCTCCCTGGGCTAGTCCAGGGGAGATAGCCCCCGTCGAGGGGGTAACACCGCACAAGTCCGCGCCCTTCCACAGCACTGGGTCTAAATTTGAAAGTACTCAAACGGGAA